CGTGTGCGGAAACTCACTGTGAGCTTTGCATGGCACAGTGTGGCCTGGCGACGGGGTTCACTTGAGGCTAGGAGGCTTCATTTTGGGGAGGAGGGAAGGACCACTTAGCTGGACGTGAGTTTTGACAGGGATGTTACTAAAGTGGCTGTGAATGTTAACAGATAATATCTACTGAGGCCTACCAAGGCCAGACACTCTTAAGAACTGTGCCTTGTCGGTTGTCTTTATGATCTCAACTGAGTGAGGAACACGGGAGTGAGATGATTGACATGTCACTGGACCAATCAGGCCATCATCATAGTACGGAGGTAATCAGAGGCAGAGAGCATGCTGCTAACTCCTTTGTGGTTAGTTTGAATCGTGGTCTCACTTGTAGCCCAGGTTGGCTTTAAACTTGGCAGCTGCCTGCTTATCCCTGAGCTGCCATGGGGTGTCTAGACTTCTGAGCTGCCGTGGGGTGTCTAGACTTCTTTTCAGAACTGCTATTTTCTTCAAAGAAGCATTCTTTTGTTTTTTGTTTATATACTTTGGGAATTCCATACACGTATACAATGGTCATATTCATCCACCAGCTTCTCCCAAGATCCCCCACACCCTCCCAAATTCATATCTGTGTCTTTTTAACCCACACAGTCCAATTAGCACTGATTAGTTTTTTTTTTAAAGAGTCTTAGGTAGCTCAGACTGACCTTGAACTTTCCATACTGCCTGAATTCCCGATCCTCTTTCATCCACTTCTCAAGGGCTGGGGCTGTAAGAATACAGCACTGTGGCCCGTGTATACAGTGCTTGAGCTCTAACCCAGGGCTCCCTGCATGCTGGCTACCAACTGAGCCACGGCCCCTAGCCTCATTCATTCATTCTTCTGATGGAGCACCTAGCCTGGCCCATATGCTGTGCTGTTTGCTAGGATTACAGTCATGAGTTAGAAGTCTGTGGTGTCATGGAGCTTAAATCTGATGGAGAGAATGGCAGTGAGTAAACACATGGAATGCTCAGGATCATGAAATAGATGATACAAAGACGAGAATGATCTTTGCAAACATGTGGCTCATAGATGCTCCTGTGTTTGTCCCTAAGAGAATGATTGAGGAACTTCAACCTAAATATGACTGGATGATGAGGAACCCAGTTCAAAGGCAGGTGCCAGGATCCGGCCATAGCTTATGGGTCTCATATTCGTCTAACATGGATAAGGCCCTGGGTTCATTCATGAGCGGTGGGCAACAACAAGGACAATTAGAGGTTTGGGATATAATGCCCTCTTTTCTCACTGGTTATACAGAGTGGTTGAGTAGCTGCCCGAACACACACACCTGAAAAACAATGAGGCTGTGATTTGAACGGGGACAACTGCATTTAGGTACCCATAACATTCACTATTGGGCTGCTGGGAGATGGCACACGGTATTAAAATGCCAGCATTAGGGCTGGGGATGGAGCTCGGGCAGTCGAATGCTTGCCTAGTGTGCATGAAGCCTGGTTCAGAGCTTCAGCACCACATAAATGAGGTGTGGTGGCACCTACTTGTGACCCTGGTGCTCAGGAGAGTGAGGCAGGAGGATCAGAAGTTCAAGGGCACCCTCATCCCCAAAGAGAGTTTGAAGCCAGGATATATGAGAGCATATTTCAAAAACAAAATAAAAGAAAAACAAGAGCCATTATCAGTAGCTGTTTTAGTCATCGGTGTAAAGATCAGAGAGGTGGTGTCCCTACCAAGGTCACACAGCCAGGCAGCAGACCCTGTCTGTCTCCCACCTGGGGCTCAATTGAGGTGGCATTGTCACCTGACCAGTTCTACATTGTTGGCCACTCTGGCTCCACATAGCAGCTGGCCTTTATGGGTGCAGACGTTTTTATGCCCTTTATTAAGGCAAAACTCATTCCAGAATTTGAGTAACTTTGCACCTGGGGCCAGGCTTCGCAGAGTTCCAGGCGGCTCAGTTGGCTCACACTGGGTGAGGATGACTCACTTTTATTGCGCTTCTTTCGAGCCTATGCCCGCTCTGGATAACCTTGCAGGAAGCTGCAGCTGTCCTGGAAGATGGCAGTGGCTGCCCAGTGTCCCCCCTCACAGCCTGCGGCAGAAGTGCCGTTCCTCCTCCTCTGCCCTATCCCCTCTGCCCACCTTCTCCTCCGGTTTCTGCAATCTGTCCCTTTGGGGAGAGGAAACTGCCACCATTTGGGCCCAGGGTGAGCAATGGGTGCTTAGAAGAAAAATAAGATGCCAAGCGTGTCCACACACCAGTCTGAATTGTGTTGGTATTCCTTCCGGGCCTCATTTCGTGTGGCTCAGAGTGTTCCAACATGCTTCTCAAGCATTGACATCCACATTGCTCTCTAGCCTGGGATTAAAGGAGGCCGAAAGTAGGCTCCTTGGCTTTGAGGCAGAGGGTGAAGCTAAGGAGGCAGGGGGAAAGATGATTCATCCTGGGTGTTTGAAGGCAGCCTTGATTTTAGCCATCCACCAGGCATTTCCAAGCCAGTGTCTCATTTCCTGGTTCTGACAGTGTGGTCATCACAGACAGCAGACTCTTTATCCAGTAAGTCACATCTCCTGCTTGCTGCTGGAGACGGCTGCAATGGGAAGGACTCCCAGGGTCCAGTTGTCCTAGAGCTTATGGTCCCACAGGCACAATATGACAACTCTAATTGTCATGGACTCACAATCACATCAGGCACCATGCAGAAGACTGGAACATCCAAAAAATAACACCCAGCTTGAGGGGTCATCACCCCAACTCTCATCCTAGCTGTGCACCCCTCAGAGGTACACCATCCATCCCCAGCCTTCTTTAAGAGGTGTGATGGGTGCAGCCAGATATCCTGACCCGTGATTGAGCCTGGGAAGCGGTCATGGTTCTCTCCTACCAGATCTGGTAACATGCTTTGGAATGTGCTTGGTCCTCAAAGTGGAACGCAAGATAGCTTAAGCTGGAAGTGTCTCTGGCACAGGTGTAAACTGCTGTCTGAGATGTCTTGGTGATCTGGCTGTCCCTCAGGTCTTCCCGTAGATTTCCTGTCATGAGGGTAAAAACACAATCACTTCTCTCTGTTTCTCTCATCTTTCTGTAAAGTTATCACTATTATTCTCTGTATCTTTTTATATATACACATATATATACATATATATATGTATATATATATATATGAGAGGCACGTTCGTGTGTGTGTGTGTGTGTGTGTGTGTGTGTGTGTGTGTGTGTGTGTGTGGACAATGAAGGCAGTTCTCTTCTTTCCAGGGATGAAACCCAGGCCCTCAGTCTTGGCAGAAGTACTATTATCTGCTGAGCCATCTGGCTGGTTCCCTCTAGTCCACTAAAACAACAACAGCAGCAACAAAAAACAAAGACAAAACAAAACAGCATCAAACAAAAAAAATCTGTTTGCATTTGAATTGTGGGCCAGGGTTATTCAAACTCGACACCACTGTCCTCATAAGTCAGATAATTCTTGTCACTCAGGACCACTCAGGAGGGCCCTATGCATTAGAGGATATTGAGCAGCATCCCTGGGATACACCCAGTGGATCCATCTTGGCCAGTCTAGGGCCCCAGGATGCTCTGTTCCCTCCCAGAAACCTGCCTCTAGATTCCTAGTCTCACACTTGACTTCCCACAGCTGAGTGACCTGGTTCACCTCTACTGTGTCTCCCCAAATCTCAATCTCTTCTTGTTCTTCCACACACCCCGAGGTTCAAAAGATGTTTTATCTTGAACTGGAGGTATCTGGGCTGAGCTGCCCCTTGGGCTAGTCTGTCATTGACACACACTGCAACTCCCGAGGGTCACCTGCTCTGAGCTCTTCCCAGTACAATGCTTGCCCAGCCCTCTTCCAGCCCTCATCATCCCCTCTTCTCCAGGGACTGCACTGCATCTCAGCTCCCCACGCGCTTTAGAATCCATGTGACACTGGAGATTCCCCAACTTTTAACAGAGCTTTTGTGACTACATGGAGTCCTTGACACAAAGTTAATTGTTCTATTAAACTCATAGCCTTGGGGAGCTTAATGGGACATAGGAAAGAACTCTGTATTTCATGAAAATGTTTGGGGCCTACACTCTCCAGTTCTGTGACAAAACACCTGAGGAAATCAGCTAAAGGGAAGAAGATTTGCCTTGGCTCATGGTTTTAGTCTGTGCCACTTAGTCACTTCTGGGTCTGTGTGTGACAGTGAAGAAGGTTCCCTTATAATGGAAGGGAGACAGACAGACAGACAGACAGACAGACAGAAGGGATAGGGATAAGCTACATTCTTCAAAGTTGTACTCCCAGAAGCCTACTTCCAGATCTCACTTCCTGTTTTCCAGACCTTCTAACAATGCCATCAGCCTGTGGATTCACCCATGGGTTGTTGCTTTTGATTAAGTCAAAGCCCCTATGAGTCGATCAGCCATCAGTGCCTGGAATTAACCAGCAAAGGTCTTCTGCACAGGGTGATGGGAGGCCACTTCATAACCCAGTTGGTAACTTCCAGCTCTTATCATCACAATGTGCTTCTGAGTCCCTGTATGGCATCCAGCTCCCCACTTCCCACTGACTTTCTTTTGACACATAGTTAGTGTCCAGACCAGCGCTCATGGTCCAAACCCTTTCGTTTATGGTTGTTGGTACTGAGTTGAAATTGCTCTTTCCTTTCCTCCTGTCTTCATCCCCTGTTTTTGAAACTGGTTCTCATGTAGCCTAGGCTAGACTCCAATTCATTATCTGAGGATGATCTTGAACTTCCGGATCTTCCTGCCTCTACCTCTCAAGTGCTGGAATTACAGGCATGTGCCACCACGTTGGGGCTGAATTGCTGGGAATGGGACTGGGGCTTCATATACTAGGCAAGCACTCCCCCACTGAGTCACACTCTCTGTGAGTCTGGGGTCATTACAGAGCCAGCTGGGCCTCACTTTCCTCCTCTGCACAAATGGGAACAGTGACATCACCAACGGAGTCCAGCTGAGCCAGGGTGGAGTAGCTGCTTAAACAGAATGACAACATCCACTGCTGTGGTTACTGAAAGCCGTGCTTTTCCTCTTTCCGAGGCCTGCTGTTGGGCAGAGCAGTGCGGCTTCCTTCCGCCTCCCTGAACTCCTTCTCTCCATCAGTTCGCTATTCTTCAACACTTGTTCTGTTCTGGAAACTTGGCAGGTAGCATGTACGGTTATTTTCAGAGGAATGAGTGGGTAAGTCAGCAGCGTTTCCCCCGGAATGTCTGTGCCCAGGGATTAGGAGTTGATGGTGCATCTGCTTTGTGGATGAAAGACATCTCCCTCCCCCCCAGCCGGCACCACCTCTGCTTTGGAGGCAAGAAAGCCTGGAGCCTGCTTTTGCCTAGTTCTTCCTTCCCTGCTCAGGGTCATGCTTGCTGATGGACCACTGTGGTGACTAGCGTGGCCATGGCTTTCCTTATAGGTCTTGTTGGGGAGAGGGAGGAAAAGGCTCCTTTGGGGGTTGCACTTTGGATTGGGCTTCAGAGGTTCCTGCAGTCTATACCCCAACTTGAAATGCTAGTGACAGTGACTGAGGCTAATGGAATGGTGGTGTCCACCCATCCCTGTCTTAGTTTAGAGTCTCCAGGCCTCTGCCCTCCTTGGTGTCCAGAGATTGCTGTGGGTCTTCTTTCTGTCTGATGCTGAGGTCAGGCTGCTGCCCGAGGAAGTCTGTGCGTGTCTGTGTTTGCTGCCTCGTGCCTCAGGTCCCCCATTCCTGGTACGTGTTCCTGGGCAGCTGCACAGTGATAGGACTGAAGACCTTGATCTGGGCTGAGGCTACTCCTGCTCTAGATGATCAACAGAGGAGGCTGCTCACTAGGCAGCACAGCCTCTGGCTAGCAGAGGCCTTGGATGCCCAAGGGTCTCCCTATCACTGCTTCACTGCTCACCTGGGCTCAAGGCCTCTCAGCATTGTCCTCCCTCGGTGTTCTTCCAGCCTGGCCTCTCTACCCTATTCCTTCCTTCCTCCAATCCTCAGGCCCACATACCTTCTCGTCCCTCACTGTAGGCATGGCAGTGAATTAAGATGATCCCGTACTGACCACTAATAACAGAACTGATGATAAGAGAGCCACAGAAAATACATTCCTGTTCCCTTAAGGGCAGAGAGGGTCCAACTTTTACCTCTGAATCCTAGAGCTCTTTGTAATTATCAAACAAAGCTTGCCACCTAAGTCTAGATTCTGCTCAGCAAATTTTCTGTGTTGACAAAAACACTCCTGTGATTGGGGTAAAGAGGGCAAATGCCAAGACTTTAGGGCGGAGTTGATCACTAGTACTTGACACATGGTGATCCCCACTGTCACTGTGATTAAAGAGACCTGAAGTCGTGCCAGTCTTGGGTTTGAAAGATCTCACACAAGCACTGCCTTCCTAGAACCAAGCTTCTGCCTTTTGGAAGCTTTTCTAGCACATTCTCTCCAGCTCCATTCTTGGCACCTTCCAAAACCTAGGCAGTCGCAGACAGCGGAGAGATTCCTTTTCTCTTCAAAGGGCGCAGCTCTCCTCTTGGCCAGCATTTCCTTTCCGTGCTGTGTTGGGTAACAGAGTCTCCGAGGGTAGCGTGAATCTGGGGGCACTGATGGCTTCATGCTTTTTAGTGGAGGAGTGGGGAAGAGCGCCTCTTCTGGGAGACAGGAGCACGCTTAGGAATCCAGTGCCTGCTCTGGGTCATGCAAGTGACTCACGGCTGGGTACCTGAGCAAGGCACCTCCTTCCCTGGAACTGCTGTGGTCTCCCAAAGCACCAGCTCCCCCCTGCAGGGGAACTCTGCCATTCGAGGCAGCATCCCACTGGTTTGCGAGTGACACTTCCTGTCCTAGAACCAGCTACAAAACTTCAGTTCTTCTTTCCTTAGGATGGGTGGGAGGGGCTCTGGGCCTCCAATGCCAGTCGATGGGATTAATAATAAAACATTGCAGCCGTTATCCGGGTAGACCTGCAGCAGCTCCATGAAGTCAGGAATGTTCCTCCCATTTTACAGACAGGGAGATATGAACTTTGGGTGGGGACTGTAGTTTAGTTGGTAGAGTGCTTGCCTAGCATTCTATCCTGGGTTCCATTCCCACCACTGCATAAATCTGGGCATGGTGGTGCCAGCTTGCAATCTCAGTGTTAGGGAGGTGGAGGCAGGAGAGGTTCAAGGTCACTCTTGGCTAAATAGTGAGTTTGAGGTCAGCCTGGGCTGCATGAGACCCTGTCTCAGAAACACAAAACAAGGCTGGGAATGGTGGTGCATGCCCTTAATCCCAGCACTCTGAGGGCAGAGGTAATTGATTTCTGTGAGTCTGTAACTCTGAAGTAGTGGAATAGAGACAGCTCATTGGCTGGCCAGCCCTGCTGGAATGGCAAACTTTAGGTTCAGGGAACAGATCCTGCTTTGAAAAATAAGGCTAGAGTGATTGAAAAAGTAATGTGACCTGGACTTTGGCCTCCACAGGTGCATGCCTGCACATACACATGCATAAAACTAACACACACACTTTCTTTTCCTCTTTCTCTCTCTAGCAGAAGAAAGCCACATTGGAAGTAGAAGCTTCGGGAGTCTTCCAGACAAGTACCCACGGCCGCAAAGCTGCAGAGTAACCAGTGAGGCTTCCACCGAGGCCTGCTGTCATCTCAGTGTCTCATCACGCCGGCATGAGAACGCACATGGCGGCCACGTCGTGTGGACTGTGGGTGTGGATCAATGATCCCCCCACCTTCTGCTGTGCGACTGGGCAGTTCCTATAATTGAGCTTCAGTTTCCTCCACCTCAGTTGCCATCACTGGGGGACAGGGAGGGTAACCACAATGCTTCCCTTGTGTCATGAGGATTAAAAGAATTTTAAAACTCCCTGCCTTGAAACAGCTGTGAGTGTGCACGTAAAGGTGTGATTGTCTGTGGGGTGTGCATGTGTAGGTGTGATTGTCTGTGTGTGTGTGTGTGGGTGTGATTGTCTGTGGGGTGTGCATGTGTAGGTGTGATTGTGGGGTGTGTAGGTGTGATTGTCTGTGTGTGTAGGTGTGATTGTCTGTGGGTGTGCATGTGTAGGTGTGATTGTCTGTGGGTGTGCGTGTATAGGTGTGATTGTCTGTGGGGTATGCATGTGTAGGTGTGATTGTGGGGTGTGTAGGTGTGATTGTCTGTGGGTGTGTAGGTGTGATTGGCTGTGGGTGTGTGTGTGTAGGTATGATTGGCTGTGGGTGTGTAGGTGTGATTGGCTGTGTGTGTGTGTGTGTAGGTGTGATTGTCTGTGTGTGTAGGTGTGATTGTCTGTGGGTGTGTGTGTGTAGGTGTGATTGTCTGTGTGTGCGTGTGTAGGTGTGATTGGCTGTGGGGGTGCATGTAGAGGCTAGAACTCAGTGCTGGGTGCTTCTTCTATTGCTCTCCACCATACTGTTTTGCTATTTGAAGGGGAAGTGGGCAGACTTTTATTGAGATTTAGAATAACATCTCCATGCAGCAGGGAGGGATCTTGAAGATGAGTTGTACTTCACTCTATTTTTCGAGACAGAATCTCTCATTAAACCTGGTTATCACTGTTTTGGCTGAACTGACTGCCTAGGGAAGGAAGCTGGACCACAGAGCTGAGGATGAGGATGAAGATGAGCCCAGGACAGTGTAGGTAGGAGGCTGAGATCGTCTGAGTAAGGATGGCTGGGAAGAGCATCTCCCTAAGGAAAGCTGGACCAGCCTCACAGACCAGGTAATGATAGCAGCGAGGGTATTTTGGCTCATTGGATTGAATGTTTAAAATAAATATGCAACATATGTGGGGTAAACTCAGACACGTGCAAGGCAAGGATAGGAGATGAAGAATGCTGGGGAGTGGTGCTGGGCCAGACTTCAATGCACATAGATGAGGAGCTGGGCAGTCAAAGAGACATCAGTGCTTGTGAAAAGTCTCCCAGGTGGAGAGGACAGCACAGATTAAAACTGAAGGATTGCAGGGATATGTATGTTAAGTTGAAAGACGGGAAACAGTCACTGTCCTTAGGAATGGTAACCAAAACACTCGGGGAGTTAAGCTGAATGTCAGGTTAGCAGGCAAGTGTTGTCTGGACCACACAGTTCCAGGGCACAGCCTCCACTTCATGGTCTAGGTCGGCCGTGCTGCAGCATTACTCTTCCATGAGAGTGCAACGCTTCCACGTCTGTGTGGCCAAATCCATATCCACCTGCCTCATGGTGTGTGTGTGTGTGTGTGTGTGTGTGTTCATGTTCATGTTCTCCCCTCTCACGTGTGTGTAGTCATATTTTTCCCCGCACGCACGTGTATGCGTGTGTGTGTGTGTGTGTGCTCACACGCATGTGCATGCATCTATGCTCACAGATAGAAGCTAGAGAGGGCAACCTTGGGTATCATCTTCAGTGATGCTATCTACCTCTTTTGAGACAGGGTCTCTGCTTGAAGTTCACAAGGTTAGCTAGTCCCAGGGATCCCCCTGCTTCTTCTTAGTGCTGGGATTGCAGGCATTGGCACCATGATTAGCAGTTTTACCTGGGTTCTGGCCGATTGAACTAAGGCCATCATACCTGCTAGATTGAGTATCTCCTCCGCCCTATGCTGTTACTTCTGGTACCTTCTAGTCGCTAGAAAGTGCTTAAAATGTCATTAATATGCCCAAGGAACTGTATTTCAAATGTTACTTCATTAAGCAAAATTGTATTGGGCCGAGGAAGTAGCTCAGTTGGTAGACTTGTCTAGCGTGCACGAAGCTCTGGATCTGGTATAAACTGGGCATGGTGGCATAGACCTTTAACACCAGCTCTTGGGATGTGGAGCCAGGAGGATCAAGGATTCAAGGCCAGCAACATAAATTTCAGTTTCAGTCTCAATTGCTGCCTGTGTTTAGAGGCTTCCACTTGGACAGAGTATCCCCAGGGTATGCAGTGCCCAGTCTGTGCATAGCATGCTTTAGAACATGGTTATTTTTCTTTGTGTCATTGGAACAAATTAACAGGCAGCTCAAAGATAATTAATGGTTTGAATGATGTAGAAAAGCCAGAAGCAACCAACTAGCAAAGCAGACAACAAACAAACTCAAATGATCAGTCACTGAGAAACATGTCACTCCTGAATGTGGTGGAGGTGGAGAGGGGGACTCTGTGGCTAACCACATAGGAACATCTGCCAAGTCACGGCATCTGACTCACACCCCCTGCAAATGGTCTTTCAACTAAGGTGAAGGCTGTTTGCAAATTGTGTGAGTGCCCTCAGTTCTCCCCTGCTCTCTGGTTCTCTAGACTCGAGCTATGGTAACTTGTGTCAGTTTCTTTTCTGTTGCTGTGATAAATAAAATACCCTGAAGGAAGGGCTTCAAACCTTGCAGTTCAATGTGGCAGGAAATCAAGGCAATGGCAATTGTCAGCTCTTGACACTACATGTGAAGTCAGGGGAAAACAATGAATGCTAGTGCTTCGCTCACTCTCCAGATGCCGGCCTGGGGAATAGTGTCACCCACAGTGACTCAGTGAACTGCAGTCAAGATAATTTTCTACAGATTCTCCTGCAGCCCACCCCCCTAGGTGATTCTACAATCTGTCAAGTTGACAAGTGATAGTAACCATCATATGACTTCTCCTTTAAAGAGTCAGATTGCCTTTGATTTGGATTTCCTTGTCTCATTCACTTTAGCTAAAAGAGGGACAGTAGGTATAGCTGACCAAGGACATTGTTATGGTATGAATGCAAAATGTCCCTACAGGTTCCTTCTTTTAAACACTTGGTCCTTGGCTTGATGGTACTGTCTTGAGAGGCTGATGTGGGGCCTTGCTCATTGACATAGCCATCCATCAGGTACTTGAAATTCCCACCAACTTCTGATTTGAGTCCAGTGCTTTCTACTTCCTTATCCACAAAAATGTCAATGTGGGTCAAGCTGGTTATTTTGTTTGCTTGTTTGTTTGTTTGTGAGACAGGGTCTTACTTGTAGCCCTGGCTGGCCTAGAACTAACAATATAGACCAGGCTGACCTCAAACTCACAGAACTCCTCTGTCTTCCAAGTAGTGGGCTTAAAGGCATGTGTCATCATGTCCAGACAGTGTGGCAAGTTCTTGCCACTACCAAAGGACATTTACTGTCTTGTCCCACTCACCACCATGAGGCCACTTGTTCACCAGTCCCAGGGCAAGGAATTGAAGCAAGGGGAACAGAGCTCAACATCCCAGCTCAGCCGAGCCTTGGTCATCCAATCCCATGCCTCCCAGAGGAAGGAATGCATGAACTCAGCCCGAATGCACCAATCTCACTCAGCCCACCGGCACACAGGCCAGTGTGCATCCTGTGTTATGAACTGCCGAGACTGACAGCTGCCCTGGAGAGAGGCTGACTGAGACATGGCTGCCAGTTATTAGACTTGAAGTGCAAATCTGTGAATATTTGAAATGCCAACTTTTGGGGGCCTGTATTGCCATCGTCTTTGCTCTTTGGCATTCTGGTTTCTCTGGGATGGCATTTGTGAGTTAAATGTCTTTCTGGACTTTCAAGAGCAAAAACATTTGTTTTCGGAGGTGGGATGAGAAAAGAGATTTAAAATTTACGTATCGTATCATCCTTGGACATAACCCATTTTGACGTACTGTTGTATTTATTTTTTAGTTTTAAATTACGTGTATGGGTGTGTGTCTAGGTGTGGGTGTGTTTATGTGTGAGTCCAGGTACCCAAGGAGGCCAGAAGAGGGCTTTGGATCCTTTTTGAGCTACAGATGATTGTGAGTTGCCTGACATAGGTGCTGCATTTGAACTCAGGTCTTTTGCAAGAGCAATAAGTGCTCCTAACCATTGAGCTATTCTCCGGCCTTTTATGTTCTTTTAGATGCAAACAACAAGAGCTGTACACACAGATGTCTCTACAAACAATCCAAACAATCTTACTATACAGAGCTCTGATTTCTACGCTACTTAGTTCAGCATTGTACGTAACAGCATTTCATTACAACCTTAAATGCTGCCTCGGATCATGACTTTTAGCAGCTTCATACTAATATTCTATGGTAGAGCTGCACCGTGTTTTATTTAACCATTCTTTTCTTTTGGACATTTCAATTCTCTGCAATTTTTCATTGTTACAAATGGTCTGCGGTATTCTTCTCTGCCCATAAATCTAAGTGTGGCTTATGCTTGCTCCCTGGGCTGTGTTCCTAGTAGTAAAACTCCTTGGTGAGACGGTCTGAGCAATTTAAATAAGGTGTTTCCAAGTTGTCCCCACGAAGGGTAATTTAAAGTCCTACCACAGGGCTAGGAAAAAAAGCTGATACTACCATTCATGGAAAGGCATGCTGGGAAATACCAAAGCAGACAGGCAGGAACTGCGGTCTTCTTAACTCTGTAGTTTACACAGCATCATCAACTTATAATTGTGTATTTCCACTAAACATGGCATTAAGTCCTGGAGCGGTAGCTCACAATAGTGCTTGCTGTAGAGTGAGGACCCACGATAATAATAATAATGATAATAATGATGATGATGATAGCCAAGTGTGGTGGTGTGTTTGTTTAATCTCAGCATTAGAGAGATGTTGACAAACAGCCTAGCTTGTACTTGTTGAGTTCCAGGACAGTAAGAGGTCCTGTCTCAAGAAGTAGATGGGTGACTCTTAAGGAATGTCACCTGCAGTTGTTCTCTGGGTGCCACATGTGTGTGAAAGACATGCACCATCACATCCCCCCACACCCACACACCATGTTCAGAGGTGACCCTGCAAAAAACTGAGGGATGTCTGCGTCCTTGTTCCCACTGACAGACCCCGTTGCTTCTAGCTGTGCGGTTTCTGTCTTAGGATTGTGATTATTTTTTCAACTGGTTATTAAAACGAAAGTGGGATATATTTGAGGCACACCCTCCGCCCC